TTTTTCTCTTTTTTAATCTCTGAGCAATTCAGATTGCTCTTTTATTGTTGAACGATGTGGAATACTTTTGGTTATTGGCTTTCATGCCTTCTCATTCCAAAGCAAGAACTCATAGAAAAGAAGTGTAAATTAATGTTCTTCTCTCTGCTAGTACCACTTTATTAAAAATATAATTTCCATGCAATTTAGTGATAATTGCTTCAAGCTAATGAGGAGAGAGGAGGTTTCTATGGATCAGAGAATGCTGTTAATTAATAACATAGAGAATTAATATGGATCTGTCTATATGCTTTGATTTATAGTTTAAGTATATTGTATCAACATATGGTTTTAGTATGAGCTTAAGTCTCCTATTCACTGCAGTGTGTTTTCAAAAGGAGAATGCTTCTACTGAGATACAAGGCTAACAAAAACTGTAATTCTCTATTAGAGTTTGAAAAGTCCCAGCTGTCCCAATTGGCAGTTCTTATAATCAATTGATCGTCCAATTTTGTAGCACTCACTTCAAATGGTTGACCGAGAAGTTACCTCCTCTTTTTGGTAGAAAATCACAAGTTTGATGATCTCAAGATTCCTTCTTCCAACAGCTTCTGATTTTATGTTTTATATTGCAAGATGATCTATTTCATATTATGTGCTGCCTTATTTGTATATATTAAAGCTGGATACAAATGTCCTTTCAAGATTTTTATTCAAATTTATTTGGGGTGGGGGAACCTGGGTGAAAGCTTCCTTGAATTTCTCCCAAAGAAAGAGGAATTGGTGATAATTTTTCAGGGGAAGGACTTTGTTTACACTGTTTCTGTCTGATGTCTTCCTGTTGGTTTGAATAGAAGTGTGGAATGCAGGGATACAATAAACTACTGGAGAAGTGCTGACACAAGGAAAGACAAGCTATCGTGTTTTCCTGAAAATAAGACAGGGTCTTATTTTCTTTTGACCCCTGAAATAAGCACTTGGCCTTATATTTGGAGAAGTCTTATTATTTTGAGGTGCAGGAGGTGGCGAGCGTGGTCACCTCAAGGCTGCTACTGTGTTGCAATATTTTCAGGGAGGGCTTATTTTAGCGCATGTGCTCAAAAGCCCTATTGGCCTTATTATGTATAGATGTCTTATTTTTGGAAAAACAGAGTATTTACATACCCACATACCTCTATGTGTTGATTAGCTTTCACTAAAAAAAAAAAAAAAAGAATAGCCAACTTCCCCTATAAAGGAGTTTTCTTATTTTTGAAAAATAATTTTAAGGGGGGGAAAAAATCTTCATCAGACTGAATTGAACCAACTGGTATATATTGTATGTGTATTTTTTTTTCAGATTTAAAAAAAAATAGTATGCATGTGGGCTTGCATGTAAGACTTCCAAACTTTTTAAAAAATGGCAATTGAGAAATCAGCCCAAGGTGGAAAGCAAAACCTCAAAAAGTAATCTTTTCTTTATGACTACTGAATTTGTTGTGACAATGTGAAGCTCAGCAGCATGCCAGTGAAGGTGTATTCATTTTTATCAATGACATATTTTATCTGCCAGCCGTCACAATATAATCCATTGGCCCTGCACTTTTGCCAAACTCTTTTTTCATTATGTCAGGCAAAAGAGTTTTCATCAAGTCCCCTTTCCTCTTCTGTTCTGTAATCAAACCATATTTTAATCAAGGCCCTTCAGGCTTTTTATCAACTCAAGGTAGCAAAGTAAGGCTTACTGTTCTCTGCCTCCTTTCTCTACTGCTTTCCCTAAATTCTAACACTGCACAACAGGGTCCTAAAGTTATCTTTGAGAAACAATAGGCATGTTCTTCATACAGCCAATACTCAAGGCAACATCTGCCTCTGATTGTTTGACCAAGACTTCTCAAGAGCATGAAACAAACTCCAGGTCCCGACAAAAACCCCTTTTATTAATTTACTATGAATTTTGCTCATTCACATATAGTAAAGTCTTTCAAGGGAGGGTTTACAGCCACAAACCTTGTCTGGCTTGGAGAGCTGCCAAGCCGATACCTGCAAAACTTGGCAAGGAGTCTCAGAGAGTCACAAACCAATTAAGCAAACTAATTGTCTCTTGCAAACTCCACTCCCCTTTCGCTCCTCTTTTACTTACTCCCAAGTCGACCCCTGTTCTTTAGCTGTTCCCTTCTTCTGGCAACTCTGTGCATGTGCAGGCTCCAGCTGTTCATCTGCCTCACTGATGTCTGATCCTGAAGGCAGCTGATAACTGGCATACGGCTCTGGCCCCCTCTCTGCCTCTGACACAGAGCCCTCATCAGAGCCTTCCTCAGACTCCAGGACTGGCNAGATTTCCAAGATAGATAAGGTCTGTAGTCATAATTACTCCTTTGAAAGACTGTTTGCCAGGCCTTGCTGAATGTGAATGAGAGGAATTCACATTCATTTAATAAAAGGGGTTTTGTCGGGACCAGGACTCTGCCACGTGCTTTTTGGGGAAGCCTAGGTCAGAACAGAGGGCAGTGGGGATGAAAACAAACCAAGGGGAAGGAAGGTGTGGTGTATGCAACCAGGTAGAGGGAGACTTACTCGAATGTCGGGTCACCTTCCCTGCTGGCTTCCACATTGACTTTGCTTGCTTGAAGTCAGTAGAGAAGGTCAGCAACAGCAATCACTGATCACAGGACGCTGCAACCAGTTGTAAGTGCAAGCCAGTTGCCAAGTGCTCAAATTTTGTTCTTGTAGCAACAAGGGACCTGAAACAGCTGTAACTTTGAGGACTGGTTCTAAATCCCTTCATTCAGCGCCGTCATAATTTTGAAACAGTCCCTCAATAAATGGTCATAACCCAAGGACTATTTGTAATTCCATGCCTATATATTAGAATTCATTGTGCAAAATGGGACCAGTTTGACCACTGGAATTTTCCCCATCCTTAAAAACAGAGTTCTGGTCCAGGAAGGAAATTTCTATTTTAAAAAATCTCAATATAACTAGCATGTGACAAATGCGCCCCCGTGTGTTGAATCTGAGCTGCATTTTTGCAGTTCTGCATTCGGAACAGATCCTACAGCAGTTCATTTCAGTCAGGCCTCCATTTCAACCTATCGAGAGACACATTTATGAGAACAGGATGATAAAGTAAACAATTTTGCAAGATATTTCCTTGTCAAAATGGATTATATAATACATTCACCTTCCTGAGCAGAATGTAATATACTGAAGATGGAAGGCTACAAATGCCTTGAGCATTTCAAGATGTAATAAATGACATGGAAGTGGGGGGGGGGAGGTCAGACAGTCACTATCGCATAGTTATTATGATACTGGGCTAGGAGCATAAAAACTCAGTTTCTAGTTCTGCCTTAGGCAGGGAAGCCAGCTAGGTGACCTTGGGCTATTTCCCTTCAGCTCAAATTATCATCAGATTCTGTCACAAGAATAAAATTCTTCATCAAATCATGTACTTGAGCTTTGCTGTAAGAGAGAGTGCACTGTGGAACAAGGGAATTCTGCAACCACTGGGCCAAATACAAGGTATAACATTGTGTGAGAGAGGTCACTTTGGGGGGAAATCAGCAAGCTCTTCTACAGTTGTTTTGGACTTCAGTTCACAGTAACTCCAGCCATATTAGTCAATTGAAGTGTGGGAAATGCCATCAAAAACATCTGCTAATAGTCAGAGGACAAAATCAAATTAGTCAGATGTGGTTCTCCCTGAAATTAGTGTAACATATCAATCATGTCTACTGTACCTTGCTCTGATGCAATGGGACTGCAGACTAAATCCACCTAACCACAGTATTTTTATCCACCACTTTACAGATGAGGATAAGAAAAGCAGATATAAAAAAGTGTGATATCACACAAAAACTTTATTTTACAGCCTTTTTCCTACATTGTGGTTAGCAGTGAAGTTAATGCCAGAGATATGTTTTAAAGCTCAGCTGTATCGAGGAGTCGAGGGCAGTGACGGCAAACCTTTTGGGCACTGAATGTCAAATAGGGAGTGTGCGTGCTCGTTGGGGCCGCAACCAGAAGAGGAGCTGCCCAGGGAACATGCATGCACCGGAAAATGAACTTCTGGTTTCCGCAAGCTAGTCTTCCGGTTACTGACGGGCATGCTCATGTCGGAAAATGGAAGACAATCTCCCCCAGTTTCTGGCACTGCCATACGCATGAAGGCCAGCTGATCATCATGCACGCATGTGGGCTAGACAGGGGTGGGTTGCTGCTGGCATTATGCTGGTTTAGCATGCAAAATTTTTTCCGCATTTGTACATAAAAAGGTCTGTGCGTGCACAAAACATAAAAAAATGAAAAAAAAAATTTCTGAAAAGAAAATTACATTTCTGCAAAGAAGGTTGTTCTGCGCATGCAGAGCCAAAAATCAAGATAGGAAAACCCGTTCCGGGGCGTGGCAGGCCTGGGTTGCTGCCAGTTCCAACAACCCAGGCCACTAAGTTATTACCGGTTCAGCCGAACCGGTAGGAACCCACCTCTAGCACCAGAAACCCGGAAGAGGAATGGGCGACGCCATGCATAGTAGATGACATGGCTTCGCATGCCACTTCAGCCACGTGTGCCATGGGTTTGCCATCATGGGTCTAGGGTGTGGCAATTTAAGGGGACCTACCATGGGTTGGGTGTGGAGAAGAGAAAGATGCTCCACTAGAAAATGAACTATGCAGGGTAGGTTGTACCAGGGGCATCCTGGGGAAAATAAGTGCTAAAAATACAAATCTAATATTAGAGACATTTAATATATACATGTACCAGGAGAATCCACAATGGTGTGATCAAAGCACTACTTGGTTTTTGCATTCCATATGATGGACAGGTAAAAACAAGCAGACCTTCAGTCATACTTCTGAGACCACCTTCTTAGCTTGACTTTGGACAAACCCCTATTCCTGACACAACACTCTCAAGTTTATTTTCTTCTCTCTTGGCCTCCTGGCTGACTTCAAGCACAAACTAGCTCTCAGGCATGACTAGCTTGAGGCAAAGCTTCCTTCCTTAATCAGAATAAGCCCTTCAATGAAACAATCGCCATGTTCAAAGACTTCCTGGCTTATTCTCAGCCTACGTAAGCAAGAGGATTCTGGTTTCACCAGTGCTTTGCACTCCTATTTTTTCCTCCTTCCCATTTGCTAACTGCTGCCACCCACACCCAGTGTTTTCTTTGGGGAGAGTTTCTAGATTTTCTTTTTGCTTTCATCTTTTCAAATGGATGAGATTTTATGCCTGAGCCATATGGCAGCTGCTTGCTCTTCACAGATGTTCTTTTCTTTCCCAGTTAATGCAACAGTTTAGCGGCAGGCAGAGACAGGCAAACAGCACAGAGCAAGGAAAGGAGGAATAGGCCTAATGTTATTTACTCCTTACCCCCCCCCCCCAAAAAAAAGGTTGCACATTAAAAAGGAAAGAGCAAAAGGCGATTACAAGGAGGGTTTTGACATGCTCTAACACTTAGGTATAGATCCTGGGTCTTCTTAAGAAAATGAGCAATCCCACCCCTAACTGAAAACTAAGGATGAACCGAGGCTGCTAAACTGGAAAAAAATGATTAGTGTTCTGACCAAGGCTTCATAAGAGCATGCAGCAAACTCCTTGTCCTGACAAAAGCCCTTTTATTAATTTACTGTGAATTCTGTTCACTCACATCCAGCAGAGTCTTTCAAGGGAGGATTTACAGTCACAGATCTGGCTTGGAGAGCTGAAAGGCCAAACGTGGCAAGGAGTCTCAGAGAGTCATGAACCAATTAAGCNCTCCCTTGTCTCCTCCCCACTGGTCCAAGGCTCAGGTGCCTCCTGGTGGCCAACCAGCCTCTCTGCACCCTGCTCAGAGTCGGAACTCTGTCCAGGGTCCTCCACATCCTCCAGAGCCGACTCATAGGGCCCCTCGCTGTCGGAGTCTGGTGGCAGCTCCAACGGCTCCTGCCGGGCCACTACAGTTTTTCATGCCAAAAACAGCCCAGAACATGGCCTAGAAAATGGCCTGAAACAGCCCAAAATTGGCTAAAACCAGCTAAAAACAGGCATGCATGCTCCAGCTTCAGATTTCCAGTGCTCCAGCATATGCATATCTGGTTTTTCCCATTTTGGGGGCTGTTTTCAGGCCATTTTGATGCTGTTTTGGGGCTAAAAATGGCCGGAAAATGGTCCAGAAAACAGCCTAAAAAATGTTTTCATGTGGTTCCCAGTGCCCACAAAGACCAGTGTCAAAAACCAGAAGAGCAGCTGATGATGGTGTGGGTGTGTGTCCACAGAGAGGGCTCTGTATGCTACCTCTGGCATTCATGCCATAGGTTTGCCATCACGAATCTATGCTGATAAGATGATTCTTCTCTATGAACAGAAGCTGAGTTGAGAAGAAAGTTGAAAAAGTCAGATATTGAGAAACTACGCTGATAACAAAATTATAATTTGGGAAAACCTAAAATGTTGAGATTGTCTACTGGAGAAGCTCTCCTAGAGCCACATAAGCAATAGAAATATGTAGGCATGGCGCTTAACGAGACATTGGCTTGGAAGGTGAAAGAGTTAGGGCAATTAGGATTGTTTAGATTAGTAACAAGGAGACAGATTAACAAACGGAATGTTAAAACTATCCTGTAGGAAACTCATTCCACCAATGTTGTTTAGAGCAGAGTTTGAAGAGTTTGAGAAGAAATCCAAAAGAAGTTTTTTAGGAATTGTATAGAATTGGTTTTGCAAAACATTACTGCCCATTTTCTGTGGCCTGCACTGGCCTGCTTTTATTTAAAATCCATATTGATAAAGGACTTTGGGGGTATTTAATATTCTTTCCTCTTGAGGCCAAATTGATTTTCTTCAGACAAAATATATTTTAAAATTAATTATGGATCCGAGAGAGAGCGTAAATTCAAGTGTACAGCCCTTTGTTTTACTGTAATCCTATCCCTTCGTCTGCTTAAATTCTGAGAAATTATGCTGCTATGCTTTTTCCTTAATATGCTGGACTTTATACTCATTGTTGTACTTATCACTGTAGCTGACAGCTAGTACTTCCATTACATGGGGATTTTGAATTTATTTTAAGAGTTTTGTCTTTGAGATCTTTTTTTGGCATGTTCAAATATTGATAGATGACTGAGTAACGTACATCTCCCTGGTACCTTTTAAAGATGCTACTGAGCTATAGTGGACATTAATCCTTGTAGTTTATTTTTGAGATATAGCCTTCTAAAGTTGTTGCCAGAAATGTAAAATGATTACATTTTCATTATTAAAGGGTTTTACTTTTCATTATACATTTTACTGTTATTGCCCAGATGATGAAAATTATGATTTATTGTTGCCTTGAGATTGCCCTAAAATAAAAAAATTATATTCTTCTTCTAGAAAGGATTTTTTTTTGTAATTAATTAAAATGAAACTGCAGCAAAAACAATTACTTTTGCAAGAACAATTTAAAGGAAGCAATCACTGTTATGTCTTCCATTAAATAAGCTTTATAAAGCTAAAATAATTTCTTCTCCCATTCTGCTGGTAAAACTGTTTACATTTTAAGTATTTTCAATATATCAATCAGTGATGGAATTCAAATTTTTTTACTACTGGTTCTGTGTGCATGGTTTGGTGGGCATGGCATGGTTTGGTGGGCGTGGCTTGATGGCCATGGCAGGGGAAAGATACTGTAAAATCTCCATTCCCTCTCCACTCCAGGGGAAGGTTACTGCAAAATCCCCATTTCCTCCTGATCATCTGGGACTCGGGAGGCAGAGAATAGATAGGGCAGGGGCCAGTTAGAGGTGGTATTTACTGGTTCTCCAGAACTGGTCATAACCTGCTGAATACCACCTGTGATATCAATGGATTGGATTCTCTTATATGTAATACAAAGTATCCAGTGGTGGGATTCAAATAATTTACCAACCGGTTCTCTGTCCTAATGACCAGGTGGGAAGGCAGGGCTTAGTGGTCATGTGACCAGATGGGTGTGGCCAACTCAACGTCACTCATGTCAATGGGCGCTTTGCCTTAGCTGTTACAATGTAATAAGGGTTAACCGGAGAGGCAGTTTCTGTAAACAAGGCAATAAAAATTAAGCTAGAAACAACACCAGAATGTTTCCTTCCTGCCTTCCTTACAGGATTAGCCCTGTAAAGTGGGNCGGTGAGATTTGAACAGCCGAACTGCAGAACTGCAGTCAGCTGAAGTAGCCTGCAGTGCTGCACTCTATGGCGAGCTGGCCACACCAAGTTGTTCCATTCTATCTTGGCCTTCTGGAGAGCTGTTAAAATCTGCCTCCCCCACTGAGCATTGGGGCATGTATATGTGTTATTATTGAATTGTGTTTTTTTTTTTGCTAGCATAGAGTTATTTTCATTAGTTGGGGGGTTCATATTGGGTGGGTTGCTCTCTGCCCAGATTTAGGTATTCAAGATGGGAGCTATATACAATTTCTAAATAAATAAATTTCTCTTCTTACCTCCTCATTATATCAGGAAGAAGATACCCACCGCTTTGGAGCAAAATGGGAAAGGAGGTGTGAAAGCTGAGCGAAAACGTGTGCCAAAGTCTTCACTGCAGCAGAGTGAAGGACAAACAGACGAGAAGGGAAGTAAAGAAAGGCGTGATGGGAGGAGATTAGAGAAAGGGAGGTCTCAAGACTACTCCGACTTCCCTCCCCATTTCGAGGAAGGCAAGACGGTTAATGAAGAAAAACAGAGGAAAGAAGATGAATATACCCGATATAGAAGCGATCCCAATCTTGCAAGGTACCCTGTGAAACCCCACCCGGAAGAACAGCAGATGCGCATGCATGCAAAAGTTTCCAAAGTGCGGCATGAGAGAAGACACAGCGATGTTGCCTTGCCTCACACTGAAGTTGAGGAGCCCGAGGTGCCTGAGAATAACCTTGGAAAGCATTCCCAGTTGCAAGGAACTCAGGATATGAAATCCCACGTGGATGCCCAGAGGACACATCCAATAGAAAGAGCAGGCGATGTTAGGATTTCTGTTTCTAAACAATTGATTTCTCATGCCCCATCATCGCCTCGCCACAGCATGGTTCTTACGGAACATTTGGAATCCAAAAATCACGATTCCTTCAAAGCACAAACTCGCTTAGATCCCAGCTCTGCCATTCTCAGCCGGAAAGCAAAGCGGGAGAAAATAGAAACCATGCTAAGGAACGATTCCCTGAGTTCTGATCAGTCGGAATCAGTCAGACCCTCCCCCCCAAAACCTCATAGATCAAAACGCGGCGGGAAAAAAAGGCAGATGTCCGTCAGCAGCTCGGAGGAAGAAGGAGCATCAACTCCTGAATATACCAGCTGCGATGATGTGGAAATAGAAAGTGAAAGTGTCAGTGAAAAAGGTAAGTCTTCCTTTAAGAAAACAAAAAGAACTGTACAGCAAGGGTGGGTTCCGGCTGCTGCTACTGCCGGTTCGTTTAGAGATGCGCCGCGCACGCACTTGATGTGTCTTATGCGCGTATCCACAGTACTAAAAAAAATGCTTCTGTGCACATGCAGAAGCCAAAAAACAAGATGGTGACTCCATAGGCGCTGCCGAGAGAACCGGTTCGGGGGCGTGGCAGGCCTGGGTCGCTGCCGGTTCCAGCGACCCAGGCCTGCCACGCCCCCGAA